GGTCCTCATTTGCTGTGCCTGGACAATGGGTGGTGTGAAAAGTGATTTGATGCTGAGGTAGGGAAGTATATATTTTAGAGGGCCTTCCTTCTAGCCGGAAGGAAGGTGGTCTTTTGTCTGGCAGCCTCACTGGTGGCTTGCATGACCTGTGGTCATGTAGTTTTGCATAGCATGGACTGGGGAGAAAGAGGGAGTGGCAGCATGGATGGAAGCATAAGCATGGAGTAGGTGAGGGATTGCAAGGAAAGATAAGCTCTGTGTAGGAGAATAACGTGCAATACAAAATGGGAGGAGAGTGATAGGTACACTTTGGTGTGGCTGAGGAATCATGAAAAGAGTGACAGAATTAGGCAGGAGGGCTAGAGCTCCTTTGGTTTTCCTTTTGGCAGGGGAAGGCTGGATGTTCTGTGATGGTAATTTCTTGGGAATCACAAGGATCCCAGCTATAACACCGATGCTGCTGGTGTGTTTAGTAAATTCCCCTATGTTTTTAACATTCATATAGAAAATAAAGATACATCCATTTAGCAATTTGTGTAATTTTGAGCCAAACTGAGAAGTTGCACAATGCAACTAAGTATTTCTTAGAAGAAAAAAAAAAAGTATTTCAAAACAACTCTTGCAAAACTGGTCATTTCCTACATTTGAAATTCCAGAATTTAGATAACTTATTTGTGCATGTAAGATACTCACTTAGATCCAGTTTTACCATGCTGACTGGGGAAGAAGACACTGACCTCTGAGTTGCATTACTTATTAAAAAATTTGGGTACTGATAAGGATTGCTGAATCGACATCTCTGGAAGATGGAATTTTATGTTCACAAGTAGTTCTTTGTGCTTACTTTGCCTCTTCTCCTGGAGGAAGGAAAAGATGGCAGTCTCCTTCACATTGTTGGTTTTTCAATTTCTCCCATTGCAGGGCTAGTGATTTGCATTTTTCTAGAAGGTGAGCATAGGCAGCATGAGAGAGAGATGCTTTTTGATCTTGGGAACAGTCAATATATGCCACTGCAACTCCCTGCTTTCATAATTTGTGCTAGTATTCCTTATTAGCAGTTAGTTACACAACCTGAAATTTTCCTAGCAGTTTTGATTTTCTGTCCTTTGAGAGAGCATAAAGTTGTCTCTACCTATTTCTCTGCCTGTTCTTTAAAATTATACACATCATTGGGAATGTTCACAGCTCTGAGATTCCAGCTGTGCTCTGCCAAACTGACAGGAGTTCTGTTGATTTTTCTTCTATTCTGTTTCTGGTTACCATAAATGCAAGTATTACGGAACACTCATGCAAGTAGCATCAATATTATTTTGCTCTACTTCATTATTATACATTGATGCAAAATCAACAGAGTGCCTAAAATTAAAATTACTGATTTAAGTTTACCTCAGAAAATTGGCTACAGTTTTACAGAAAACTAGGCCTTTGGTCACTTTAATTACAGTTTAATGATATAACCAAATGTTTCAGGTTTGTTTCTGCTTTACTTCAGTGTTCCTGTTTACAAGCAAAGCATGGCTCATTTTTGGGAGTAAAACTTAAAGCATTAGGAGGCCTAACTTTTCAGAAATGCAAAGCACTCAGATCTAATCAAAGTCAGTGAACACTGATGGAACTGAGTTAATTTGGAAATCAGGTCATTGTCTGGGCCTTTTTTTTTTTTTTTTTTTTTCTTCTTCTACCCCTTGTGTTATATAAAAACAGGTTCATATTAGCTTATGGATGACTTCCCAGTGGATGTCAGTGAAGGAGTTATTGCAGATAATTTTCAGCACAGGGAAGGGAGGGGCAGGGGAGAGTAATTAAATTGAAGGCTAAATTAAAGGACAAGGTCCTGAGTCCATTTTCATCTCTATTTAAAGTAATATAAATGAGAACACAGTGGATCTTGCACAATTGAGCATGTAACATTCAGTGTAGTCTGGCTCACTTCCTTTTATAACGTACAAAGATTTTACCTTAGATCAACAGATAATTTCACAGAATCAGGTTGGAAGGGATCACAGTGGGTCATCTGTACTAACCTCCCTACTCAAGTAGGGCCATCCGAGAGCACATGGCTCAGGATTGCATCCAAATGGTTCTTGAATATCTCCAGTGAGGGAGAATCCACGACCTCTTTGGGCAGTGTGTTTCAGTGCACAGTCACTCACACAATAAAGAAGTTCTTCCTTGTATTCAGGTGGAACTTCCTGTGCAGCAGTTTTGCCCATTATGTCTTGTTTTATTGTTTTCCACACGTGAGAAGAGTCTGGCTCCATCATCTTGGCACTTCCTATTCATGTACTTTTATACATTAATGAAGTCCCATCTCAGTCATCTCTTCTTAAGACTGAGAAGGCCCAACTCCCTCATCCTTTCCTCATAAGTGAGGTGCTCCAGTCCATTAACCATCTTTGCTGCCCTCCATTGAACCTGCTCCAGGAGCTCCATGTCCCTCTTGTACTGAGGAGCCTAGAACTGGGCACTGTACTCCACATGTGGCCTCACAAGGGCTGAGCAGAGGGACAGGATCACCTCTCTCGTCCTGCTGGCGTTACTCTTCTTAATGCATCCCAGGATTTCATTGGGTTTCTTAGCCACAACGGCACATTGTTGACTCATGGGCAGTCTTTCTCTGCAGAGCTGCTCTCCAGCAGGTCAGTGCCCAACCTGCGCTGGTGCTTGGAGTTATTCCTTCCCAGGTGCAGGACCTATACTTGCCCTTGTAGAATCTCAGTTGGTTCTGCTCTACCCATCTCTCCAACCTGTCTGACAAGCTGTCCCACAAATCAGACTTATTAATGTGAAAAAGACGCTGTCTCGCAGCCCTGTACAGTAGAAATGAAGTCACAGATTTCCACTTTGTATGGCCAGAGCAATTCGCTGTCCACAGAGCAGAGTAGATGCTAAGCAACCCAGCTAGACCTTTTGTCTTCTTGAGAAGATAGTAGAATTTGTTTCAGGTTCCATTGTCATTTTTCGTTTTCTGAGGTAAGTGCACTAAGCTAGGAATGTAACTGTGGCTGCAGGGAGACTTGGGATTTTCCCTTACTAGGGCATAGGTTTGCTAATTCTCTTTTAAAGTCCATAAAATTTACAGGACTTCAGACGTCTTCTCTGAGTGGGCACTTCTTACTGTGTTGGAGAGCAAAATGTGCAATTGCTTGTACATGATGATAAACAGGAAGGGTGCATGACAGACGAGCCTAGTAAGCTTAACTCAAAATATGGTGCCTTAAAAAACAAAAATGATTTATACAATCTGTTACAAACAGTTGGATCTGATTCAAAGTGCTTACCAAAAGTGAAAAAGAAATACAAAAAATTGCATAAGTCACAGGTTCAGCTTAAGCAAGTTGTGGTCTTATATAGGGTTTTGTTTTTTTTTCAGTAGATGAAAGATTGTATGAATAAATGAGATTTCCAAATATTTTAATCTTGCCTGTGATCATTTAGTAAAGCAGCTGCAAACACTTCAAATGCAGTTGCCTATCTTCTACTCAGCCATGTTACTTCAGTGTTTGTTGCAGATGTGCTGGCTGCACTTATTAGAGGTTCCATGCCTTCGCCTGCTTAAACCCAGGACCTCTCCTCCCACAGGCTGTAGCATCACACTTGTGCTTAGGGATGTTGTTGCTGCAGCTGCACCCTACTTCTTTCACTTCTGTATTCCACAAGTACTGGCCCCTTCCTCTTTAATGCTACAATGATTTTGCCTTCTCGGTGAATAACCTGTAGGTATTAGAGTTATCTTGGATTGTGGCACATCTCTTAGTAGTGTGTCACACTGGTGTCTCAGACAGTGGCACAGTGGAAGTTTAGTATCTTTTGTGCTCTGCTGCGAAGGACAGTGTGCTTTGCTCTCCATCACTCCACCCTGAGTGTGCAGCCCTCAAAATTTATTCATAATTTAGAAACTGATAAATGCATTCATTTCTCCTGGTAAATGCTTAATAAATCTTCACCTAGGAGTGGTTGCAAGAACATAGGAGCAGTGGAAACTTGGGGAAGATGGTGTAGAAAGCTGTGAACGGTTCCGTTGATTGTTGAGGACTGACCTTTTTGGGCTTGAGAGTAATAGGTGACTTGGAGTGATTTTCATAGGACTATACAGCAGTTTTCACTATTTAAGTGTTTTCTCCGTTTATTTCTGTATGAAGTGCATTAGCTCTTTCTGTAGCTGTATTTCCATCTACACACCCTGGTCCCAACACCCCCACCCCCCACCCCACCCCTTGTGTGCATTAGTAGCATGAGAAAACTTCGGTAAAAATGATACTTTTGTTTGTAAATTTCCAAGGATGGGAGATATGGCAGGTTTGTGTAACCAGTGCTTAGGATTAATGCTGCACTTCTCATGTCCTTTGATTTCTGAACTTAGTCATAGTGATTTTTGTTATCTTTGTTTATCATTTGTCAGAGAGATGGGATTTTCTTTGTTTGACTATTAAAAGAAAATATGTAAACTAGACTCCAATTTTGTGCATTAAACATAAATCACAAATCAGAATATTTATACTTGGTATTCTAGATGAAAAGATTGCTTTCAATTATTGCCTATTAATATATCTTGGTTTTAAGATTTTATTTTCACTAATTAATGATTTTTTAAACCAAGTGAAGCTATGCAGGCAGCTGTCAAAATATTGCAAGATCAGTGCTATTTTTGGCAGTATTTGGTTTGCTTTCTCTTCTACTTGTTACTCCCTTCCTCTCTCCACAGCATCATTTTTCTTCAGCGAAACAGAATAATGCACACAGTCACACTTCTCAGCAGCTCCACAGCCTGTGGAGAGTGTGGGCAGTCTCTGTATGCAGCATCCTGGAAAATGTGCGTTCTCTTGAAGTGATCTGCTGGGAAGCACGTACTTGTATGGTTGTTCCAGCTTCCCTTGTTGCACTGCTCTCAAGGTCTGAAATGCCTGGTCTCTAATACTTCCTGGGATTTGCATTTCATCTGCCAAAGAAACTACCTGCAGCCATTATCCAGCGAGCCCTGAACAGCCAGGACACTGAAGATGGCTCTGTGTGCTTTTTATGCAGTTTGGGCTTTGTTGCTAAAAGTGGCAATAGCATTTGGCCCAGTACCGAGGATCACTTGGGAACACAGAGGTAAGAACAGAAATTTTAGTGTAATGTGGGACACTGCCACGACCTCAGGGTTTCTGTGGGAACTGAAACTGGTTGAGGCTCTATGTTCTTGGAGCCTGTTTGCTGTGAGTTTGGTCAGGTGTTGCTGGCTTTGCTCAGTTTATGAACTGCTTAGGACCAGAATGTTCAAAAGTAACTCGGGCACTGGGTTAACTGATTTCAGGCCCTCCAAGCAGTTTTGAAAACCTAACTTTTTCCAGGAGGAATTCCGAATTTGACTCTCTCAGGTGAGAGAAAACCCCAATATGTGTATTTTGTTGTAAACAAATTATTTTTAATTTGTGTCTGAACATGTTAGCAAAATGCACTTCTCCAGCTAGTATCTTTTTTTATGTGTTTTTTAGACTGAGGTGTATTTTGACACCAAGCAATTCTGTGCACTAGAGAAATTACCAGGTGAAGGAAAGATAAGGATTTGGTCCTCTTTATGACAGCATTATGTGGTGCCTAGATATGAAACAATCTTTCACAGAACACTGCTTTTCTTGTATTTGAGGTTGCAGCAAATATTTAAAGCCTCCCAATACAATTGTCAGGATTCTGCAAATGTAGTGTGAAGAGAAGTAATAGGGATCAGGGAATCCTTTAGCTTTTGGTTTCATAATTTAGCCTAGGTCTGAAAAGAGCTCTGGAGCTGGGACTATAGGTAGTTATTTGCTGGTGTTTGTGAACATGTATCTGTTTTCACGCCATTTTTCCCCACCCCCTGCCACACACACACCTCTCCGTGGACTGGATGCTTTAGGTTTTACAAGATTTTGTCTTTTGATCCTTCTTTACTAGTAGTTAATAAGCAATGATTGATTACTTACCCAAGCATGCAGTAGCTGAACAAAGGCAAACAAGTACATTGGCCATACGAAGAAGCAACCTTAAATAAGGATATTGGATTCTGAGCAGTCATAATGTAGGAAAAGATAGAGGGAGATTAAGAATGTAGTAGGAATAAGCAGATTATGAGATGGCTGTAGGAAGTGTTTTTCCTGATTATTGGTATAGCAATTAGTGAGTTGCTGATGCAGCGTTGCAGAAAGAGTGGTCTGGACAAGGCTTGTAGTTCCTGCTTAGACTCCTTGATGCTCCTGTCTTTTATAGTAATTAAAATCTGGCAAGTTGCTGTTTAATAGTATGATAATTTTATTGCAGACCCACATCCAAATTAGTCAAAGTAAATGGAATTTATTTTCATTCTTGCTGTTTCTCTCTGTGTCTGTCTGCTAAGGATTGTTGCATTTAAATAGTGGAAACCCACTTTGAATAGAAGAGGGAATTTAGTTTAGTGGACTTGTATGAACCAGTTCATCCATTTGGGAGAAATTTTCCTGCCAAGTAAAAGACTCCAAAATTACATGCTTGAGAATCTAGTTCAAAATTAATGTTTCTGGAGTATTGTAGTTGAAAATGTGCAATTACAAATGTCAGAATTGGGAGCAATAATCCATTGTTTCATCTGTATCTTAAAAAGTCGTGCTTAATTAATCTTGTGGTAGTCTCTTGAACAAAAATACAGCCTCCCAGACTTTCAGTCTTTTTTCCATTATGCTTGTACATGCAGAAAAAAATACTCTTTTATATTACTCAGTTTGTGTTATCTTTCTCCAATCCTTTCTGGTCCAGTCTGCATGCTTCCTCATTCCACTGCCTTTTTTGTCATGTCTCCCTCTCTTCTCATCTTCTTCCTTTTCATCTTGATTTCCCCTCTTCTTATATCCTTCTATTATGTGCATTTCATCTCTGGTTTTCACTTTGCAATCCACTTACCGACCAACTCAAAATGGTCTCTTTATAGCTTTTTTTTCTGCTGTGGGAATATGCTGAAGGGTTGTCTACAGGTGCAGGATAGTTTGTGAGATTTGTTCAGGGCAGGTGCGAGGGATGTGGTCACTGACATGATTTTCCACAGTAGGTTGGTGTGTGGAAAGGAGAAGGTGAGGAGGGAACTTGAAGTGGATGTGGAAAATGGTAGTTTAGGGAAAAACAGGCAGGGGAAAAAAATGATGGAAGAAGTGAGTTATAGGGATCACCATGAGAGGAAATATTGAGGCACTTGAGATTGAATAAGAAAGTGGGAACCAGTGATTTGATGCTGATGATGGGAACTGCTGTTTCTGCTGAATCAGGCTTTTTAAGGGTCCCTCATCTGTTTTGTGGGTCGTCTGAACTAACCTTTGTTGTTTTCAAGATAGCCAACAACTGTTAGCTTAGAAAAAATGACTCATAAACTTGACCCTAAGTGATCCTGCGTCTTCATGTGGTGCTATTGTTTTTTTCCATTTCAACAGAGGTCCAGCTAATACATTTTCATAAATCAGAAGTGTCAAACTATTCAACCTTGCTGTTAAGTGAAAACAAAAGCGTTTTATATGTGGGAGCCAGGGAAGTGATCTTTGCCTTAAACGCAATGGATATTTCCGTGAAGCTGCATGAGGTATGCATTTTAACACATCATCCTTCATGTAAAAATTGTACTCCAAATATTACTTAATTTCCTGATATCTTTAGTATTGCACTTTAGGTAGTAGGTACCTAAAAGAGAAACTGCTATTTTTGGGCTTACTCCAGTGCAGTTTCTGAAAGATACTATAGTATAAGAGAGGAAGAAAGAAGCTGGATATAAACATATAATTAGGGGTCTCTTTGTGTGTTTTCTTCTTGGGGGCAGGATGCTGGACAAGAGGCACTTTGGGTATCATCTTTAATAGTGGCTCTTATACATATTCTTACTATCAGGTGTGGATTATCATCTATTAATCAGAAAGTAACCTGATCTGAAGCAGAAGTAAAGTTGGAGCTTGCTCAGGAGCAGCACGCTGCAGATGTGCTTCCAAGTGAAGGCTCTGTCCTTTTGGTTTCCCCTGCTGTCTTGTGTCCCTAGGTGTGTCTGCACAGCAAGCAGTGGTGCAGACAGGTCTGATCCAGCTTGCTCAGAGAAGTACTCTGGATGTGCTGATGCTGGCTTCTCCAAATAGATTAGCCCAGACAGAAGTCTGCTAATGTATTCCTTCCAGTCCTTCCCAGGCTCCTGCTTCTCATCCCATCAGCAGCACAGGCTGGCATGTAGCGGCGCAGCATGGAGTCCCACCCAGGATTGCTTTGGAAGATGCTCATACAATTTTTAATCTGAACAACGTATTAACGGGTGCTGGTGGGCAATTTCGCCAGCATATGAAACTTGTTTTATGAGAGCATGTAACTGTCAGAGTTGTATAAGGGTATATTGGTCCAGTAAGGTTTGTTTGACTCCTCTCCCCCAAGTGTTTTTTATTCAAGTGTTAATGAAATTGAGAAGCACTTAAAATTGAAAAATACTTAAAACAGTTGCAGTTGCATTTCCCTAATGCATATGGTAATGAAAACTTTCATTAGCAATTTGAGGGGAATCATCATTATGAACCCAAAAGACAACAGCAGTAGTTTAGTCCTGCTTAAGGCACAGGCATTTGTAAGTGTCACCTCCCCAGTGAAGATTGGCTTTGAATGTTCCAAAGCTACTTGTAAAATGACTTGCATTTTCTGCAGATAATCTTAGGAAAGCCTTCTCTTGGGTGGGTTCTTGCAGTATTTTCAGACCTTGCATTGAATTAAAGTACTTTGAATGTGCCTTTTTGTTGCTTGATTTTTCACTTAGTTACCCTGGGAGGTCACAGAAGATAAAAGGATTAAATGTGCAGTCAAGGGCAAATCAGAACAGGTATGTACTTTAATTGAACTTCGAGAAAGATGTTAGACATTTCACTTCAAGAGAAGTGATGTTAAAAGAAGAAAGTCTCCAGCTGTTTGAAATTAAAATTGTCAAATAATCACCTAATTTTTTTAATTAAGTTCAGCATTAAGTTAGCATGCTTAGTATTTTTTTTTATTCTTACTTCATTATTTGTTGCTGATGAATATTATTTGAATGTTTAAAAATCTGAGCACACCCTGATGTGTGCTTAATATTAATGGTTTTCCATTAAAACAGTTAACCAGTATTGCTTTCACTGAAGTAAATGATAGCAACTGCTGTGTTTTGTTATTGCAATAATCCCTCCTCGTCATTTGATTTTACAGAATGACTAATAATTTTGGTTGCTTTGCTTTAGGGCATAGTGTTGTTTTTTTATTAGGCCAGTGTGTTTTTTCAGTCAGTGTATATAGCCTTGTTGTGGTGCTCAGTGGGTATGCTCCTCTCGGCAGCACCTTGCTGGTGTGACTGCTTAGACAGCTCCCAGCCCCTGAGCAGCCTGACCTCCTGCCAGCTCAGCAGTGCAGGCAGCTCGGCCCTTGGGATCCTTGGTGGTTTCTGGGTACCGCCAGCTCCTCATGACTGCCAGCATGCAGTCTGGCCCGTTGGGTTCGTCTGTCTGTGGAGATACTCCAAGGTAGTTGACTGTATGTGGATGTACCTTTCCCCTTGTGTAACATCACTTTGTTTAATGATATGTAAAGCAAGGAGGGTTTGCTGAGCAGGAATAATGATCAGCCGTTTAGCACAGGTTTGAAAGCCGAACTCTGCAAGTTCTGTGAATACAAAAAGCAGCTCTACTCCTCTATACTTGTTACTCTTGAACCTGTAGCTTCTTTGGTTCACACTGTTGCAAAACCCCAAGTGCTGCATCCAGGGATGATAGACATCCTGTGTTCATGGGACTTCTTGAGGTGGGAGTAGGCTCCCTCCCCTTTGACTAGCTTACTGCTTTCCCTTCGACTGACCACCATCAGTCCAAACATGAGGTGTGGCAGCTATTTAAGGGCTGTTTCCTCCTTGTCTGGCTCTTCAGGACACTATCAGAATGTTTGTTTCCCAGGTTCGGTTGGAGTTGCTAGTAATAGTATTCATACACAGCCACAATGAATAGATGAGAGTTTCTCTCATACGAGTGTGTATGTTTACAGGCTTTGTGTGCATCTCCACAAGTCCTCTGATGGGTTATTGGTGGGTGTGTTAGACCCCAGAAACAGGTTCTTTTTCAGAACTCTGTCTCCTGCCTCCGGTTTAGCAAGTCACACTCATTGCCGTCTGTGCTTTTTCCTCACTGTGCTCCTAACCTTTTAGTGGTCACATTTGTGTTGTATCCATGATGTTTTGCGTGGCACAGTAGTTTAAAAAGGGTCAAGGTATTAAGCCACTACAGCTATTTTTCACACTAAAATGGGCAGTCCTCTCCCCATCCATCACCACTATGCTGTGTAATGCCAGCAGAAGGCATTCATGCAGCTGGTCCAGGACCTCCTGTCAGAAAACTGTTTGCTTTTTTTCCCCCCTCTCCAGTATTTTGCCTTACAGTCACAGAAATACCTGGTTTGTCTCACAAGAAGGAATAGTAAGGCCAGTGCTTACGCTTAAGTAGTTTTTGGAACAGCAGTTAAGTGGGACTAACTGGCAGTGTACCTGCAAGAATTAAGGGGTGTTGTTAATACTGATTTTTTTCCCCTCCCTCTAAGTGGGTGTTTAGAGTTGTTTTTCTTTGTTGTTATTCTGAATCTTGGAATCCTTTATTAAGGATTTTGCTCAAATTCCTTATTCTATTTCAGAGCCAAAGATATTAAGAAGCTTCCTTGGATGATTTCAAGGACTGGGGAAAAAAAAAAAAAAGAGAAAGGACAGCCATAAGTGACAAAGCTTTGTAGCTAATTTAAGGTTTTGCTCTTCAGACACAACCTTGACTGTGACTGTTTTGTTTAGATGTACAAAGGATAACAAAGTCTAAAACTTACTTCATGTTTAGCTAGTCGTTCCCAAGGATTTGGATGTGTGCTTGGAGCTTCTGCTTTCATGGAACAACTTGAGATGCAACCTGCTGAGCCTACGGTACTTAGTCGTGCTCAGGTATAGTGAGGCAGCTACACATTACTGCTGTAGGAAACCAGATGCTGCAGGATTAGAGCTTCCGAAGATTGTAGGGAGATGGTGTCCCAGTGTCGCCTACGTGTCTCCCAGGCTTACTGGTGTAGTGTGGCATTAGTGGCAACAGACAAGCTGACAGCACAGTGTTGTTTTGTTGGAATGTGGAAGCTATGGTTGATCACACCAGTCCTCTCCTCATCCTCTATTACAGACAGAGTGTCGCAATTACGTGCGTGTCTTGCAGCAGCTGAACGATACTTTTCTCTATGTGTGTGGAACTTACGCATTTCAGCCAACATGTGATTACCTGGTAAGAAATGTACATGTGTTCTGACTGCCAACAGCTGTAACTTAAAAGCAGCTCAAGGAAACAGAGTTTAATCTCCATTCCCAAAAACTGTTGCATCTTCAGTGCTGATCATAAGGTTAGAAGCATTTATTGCACTTTCGCACAAGAAGGATGGAGTATGGAAATAAACGGTACTGTTCATTTTTCAGAGCACTTAATGAGTTATTGATTCATCTTGTCTAACTGCAGATTTACTTTTTCTCAGCTTTCATAATTCTTTTTGTATTCTGTGTTAGCATAAAACCAGTTTCTAAAACTGAAAAGACATTGTTTGCGACTTCCACCCATTACTGAATCTCCCTGAAATTTCTCAGATTCCTGTCTCTACTTGTCTTGTCTCTGCTCCTGGCTATACCACAGCTTCATAGTGCTAAGTGCTTCCGAGTGAAGTCTTGGCACAAAATTAAAACTCCCCTTTCTTGCTGCTGACTCTTGTATTGTTTTCCTTGCCGTGGCTCTTAGCAGTTTGGCAATTGAGAAATCTTGTAATTAGTTGTCCCTTTTTGTGTCCCCTGCTTTCAAGTCTGCCTGCCATCACCTCTGGAACATTGCCAGGAGTCATTGCCCTTGGCTCCCAATATCTTCATTACACAGTATAACCGATTACTTCCCCAGTAATGTGGCTACAGTTCGTCATCTTTCTGATGCTCAATCTCTTGGTTTTTAGGGGATTTATAAAGTAGCAGCCAAAGTACTCTGTGGCTTTTTGAAGCATAGTTGGATGATTCCCACAAATTTAACATAATCTGAAAAATTGCTAAATCCACTTCAGAAAGCATTCTTGATTTCTAAGACTCTCAGTTTTTGTTCAGGCTAATTCAATAATTGGCACTTCTTTCCATGTATCAATTAACTTCCCTGTCTTTCCTGCTGTCTAGCTTTTTTAGGTGCCCTTTCTTGAGGTCTGTCTGGATTTGATTTTTCATCTTCTGCGCTTTTCTGCTCCCGCCCTCACAAATTATAGGATTACATTTTCTCTCTGTCTGTGGGACTTGATAAGATTTTCTGAAAACGCATATGGCTTTTATAATTCTACACAAAATGCCTTTGATGCTGGAAGTTGATGATACAGCCCATTATTTAGTGTTTATTTTTTCAGTTAACTTTGCATGAGTCAAGTAACTGAAAGAAAAAAAGTGCTAACAGTCGTTTTGTGGTTTTCCAACCTAATATTTTTGCAGAATGTAATTTCATTTAAACTTGGAGGTAAAAATGAAGATGGGAAGGGCAGATGTCCATTTGATCCTGCTCAAAGCTACACATCTATTATGGTTGGTAAGTTCGAACTTCACGTACCTCATTCTTATGTGTAAAAATGTTGTATCTTTTACATTGTCATGCTGCAGTCTGTAAATATCAAAATGGTTGCTTGTGTCCATATTTTTTTGTCTTTATTGTGTATCTTTGTAGACATTAAATACTTAAAATAGTCAACCTTAGCACGTTTCTTAAAAAGAGAACTTAAAATTCTAGGTAGTTCCAGAAGCAACTTCTAAAATACTAATTTGCAAACTGTGATTCCAGATGTTTAACATACTTGGTCAGGGTAGTCTAAATGCACTTTGACTGCCTTTGTAATACCAATTATTGTCGCTTCAGTAAATTTAACAAACAATATTTTTTTAGCTGTCCAGAAGACTTATCCATGAGATAAAATAGTGAAGTAACATGTTTATTGCAAGTATACTTGCTTCGTGGAAAGGCAATACTGAATCTTGATTTGGTGAAACTTGGTCTTTACTTTTGTGTCACAAGATTGTAAGATAGAAGCTCAACACAGTGTGAAACAGGAAATGAGAGAGAGAAAAGAACACACTCCCTGCATTGTGCCTAAATTCTTAAAAGTTTAGTTTGAATAATGGTGGCATAGAGAGTAAAATAATTCCAAACTTCTGATACATTTCTTAAGTAAATTTGCATTTTTTTACATAAACTGTAGGTTTTTATGGTAAGAGTTAAGGTACCACAAAACCAACAGTGACCTTTGTCAGTTGCTTCTGTTAGAGCAATAACAGACCCAAGTGTGGAACTGTTAGGCTTGAGAATGGTCAGCAGAAATGTAAATGTGAAAGACGTGTCTAGGGCAATTTAAAGGAAATCCTTGTTTATCTTTTCTTGTGGGAAGTTTAAGCTTACACAGACTCCCAAAATATTTATGTACCCTTTTTGGTATCCAGTCCATAAGTTCTAAAATATTTTGTTTTGTGTTAAAGATGAGGAGCTTTATTCCGGTACTTCTTACAATTTCTTGGGAAGTGAACCTATTATTTCACGGCACTCTCATCAGAGCCCTCTGAGAACAGAATATGCAATACCTTGGCTTAATGGTAAGTAGGCATGAGAACTGACCCAAATAAATTACTTTTTCTTCATCAACATCACACTTAGAGATAGAGTTTAAGTGTTTTACCTAGGTGAGGAGCAATTGTCTAATATCTCAAAGGGAACAGATTTTGTTGCAGTGACATACACAGACATACGAGTCTGTGCCCTCATTTGTGCCATCAAGAGATTTTATTTTGAAATTTCAGGATTTTTATCACCATTGGCAACAAAAAAAGCTTCAAGATATGCAGACTTCAACTTGGCATTAAAGAATACAGTTTATTTTGTATCTACTCGTTCATTCCTGCAATAATGCAGCTCAGTTATAGTGTAGGAAGGAAGAGAATGGTCTTGGTCTCTAACGTTTTCAAATTGAGCCGATCATGGTTTCAGTTCCTGAATTTCAAAATTCACCAAGCTTTGTGAATACCCAGAAGTTTGTGGCATTGTGCCAAAAAGGGCTAAAATCACCATGTCCAAAAAGAACAGAATACGGAGTTTTGGCACTGTCATTTTTAGTGTTTCAGCTGATAGCTGAAATAGAGGAGAGGCATGCAAGGGAGGTTATCTCTTCAGGCCCATGAGAAAACTGCATTTGCCTGTGGCCTGAAGAATGCTGTCGTAATGGGCTATCAGACCTTACAGATCTCTCAGGTGTCTTAGTGCTTTCATATAGGTTTGTGGTTTTGGGGTTTTTTTTGGAAATGCTATTCATATTTTGAACAGGAAACTGTCTAGGCAGGTCAGTGACAGAAGATCATGTAAATGTAATGTGGGGTTTGGATGAAAGAGGACTCCTAGGGGGTCTTTGAGAGAATCATATTAGTAGTCTCATATATAATAGAAAGTTCTTCTCTTTGTATTTGTAGAGCCCAATTTTGTTTTTGCTGATGTGATAAGAGCAGATCAAAACAGCACAGATGGAGAAGACGACAAGATATACTTCTTTTTCACTGAGGTGTCTGTGGAGTATGAGTTTGTTGGAAAACTGATGATTCCAAGAATAGCTAGAGTGTGCAAGGTGGGAGATAGTTCAATTTACTTTTACTATTTCAATTAGAATTTTGTGTGTGTTAAAACGCATTTATTATTGTAGGCTTATTGCCAGTTAAATGGAAGTGGCTGAATTTAGTGAATCAGCAATTCCAACCAGTTCTTTAGAACTGAGCCTAATGGTTGCTTTGTGAATAAGTACTAGATTTTAACTTTCCACAGTTGTGAGATTTCAGTGCATCCGAGGGTCCTGCTCTCCTCTGGGAGAAAACAAACCAACCGCAACAAAACCCAGCAACAGAAAAAGTGTCTCCGCTGGCTTTACTTTGGTTTTTTTAAGCAACTCCAATTACAACTCCTTGTGAGGAACTGACTTCAGTTGGAGCTGTGTGGATAAGAAGTCGGTCAAGTGACTTTCAAGTAGCTGTATGCAAACAAACCTGTAGCTATGTCTACAACAAAATAATTTCTCTGTGGTGTAGCAGATGGGACTTCTGTGAGGCTGTAAGAGCTGCCAGAGCCTGAAGGAAAATGACCACCAGCAGCCTGATTCTGTCACCCTTGCTGTGCTTAAACCTCAGTGTGTTAGGCTGATTCAAGTATGTACTCAGGAGTGTTGCTGATGAAAGTTTTTTCTCAGTAGAAAATGTTGGTTTAACAAAAAAATTTTTCAGTGGAATGTATCAATTTCCTTAGGACTTTTTTTTTCCCAACAGGAAATTTATCTGGCTATTTCATTTTTATGAGGCTGCAAGCTTTATTTTGACTTTACTCTTTTATAATTTAAACATGGAAGTCAAACATCAATAACAAGTTAGTGCCCTCGAGATTTCCATTAAACAAGGAGTTGGAGGCAGGTTTACATGCAGCTTATAATTGTGGCTGTATGCCCACTGACAGCTTGTGCATGCTTTAAAAGGGGGAGTATTGTGGAATATGAGAGCTTTATTATGATGTTATTATGCGTCTCAAACTGTTGGTTGAAATAGGAATCAGTGGCAGATTGCAAATCTATAAATGTTAATGCTTAATTGTTTTAATATATTTTGGGAGATTTCCTTTAATGCTTTGCATAACATCATTGGATGATGAATGGGAAATATTAATACTGTTTCCATGTGCTCTGGTTTTTATAGAGAATTAACAGAGCTACAGGTTGGATATAAAATAATTTGAAGCATTCCTGGTCAATATGTCTTAACTTCTCTAAGACTTGGTATTGTAAATCCTTTATAAAGGTGGTAACTTCTAGCAGGATTGAAGCACTGGTGCATTTCTGCTAATGAAATTATCCATGTCAGGCAAGTTTACATGCATGTTGCAGCATTGGAATTTAATTCACAGTTTTGATGTCACAGAACAAATGCAATATTACCTGTTCTCTTAAGAAACAGTATAATACTTCCATGCTTATTATACTTGTTCCAATAAACAATTTTTTCCTAATGGTACATTGCTAATCTCAGTTTTTCAAGTGCTGCTGAATTATGGTTCTTTATTACTCTCATATCATCTTTCCTCTATGTGTGATAGGAATGATTCAGCATTATTTTTTTGGATCAGTTTTTCCGTGGCTTTGTCACTGTTTTGTTTGTGAATGTGTTAATGCTTATTGATGTTGCTGTAGACAGAATGTTAGAAAATAATAGGGCGTAATAATTTCATGCTATATAGCTGTGGTTTTTAAATGCAAAAGTGCTGCTAGTTCTCCTCACAAACACCTTTTTATTTTTTTAATCTCATAAGAGGGACCAAGGAGGATTAAGGACCTTGCAGAAAAAATGGACTTCCTTTCTCAAGGCCAGACTGATTTGTACCATCCCTGATAAACATTTGATTTTCAATGTTATCAATGATGTTTTTATTCTCAAGTCTCCGAATTTGAAGGAGCCAGTGATATATGGAGTCTTCACCCCACAACTGTAAGTGTGGTATAGCCTTTTCCTGGATAAGTACTTTTAATCTTGGTTGATTACTACAACAAGTAATAATTACTCCCATGTTTTGTTGTTTTGTTTTCTTAATTTCTTCCTGAACATTTAGGAATAACGTGGGTTTGTCAGCAGTGTGTGCATACAATATGTCTACTGTAGAAGAGGTTTTCTCAAAAGGAAAATATATGCAGAGTGCTACAGTTGAACAGTCTCACACAAAGTGGGTACGATACAATGGGGAAATTCCCAATCCTCGACCTGGTGCAGTAAGTATCTGTAATTTTGGATCTGATGGCTAGTCTTTTTTTGTAATGCTCAGGAGTAAAGAGACTAGAGAATATTACATAACCTTCTAATGATTAATTTGTTTGCTCTGATCTGGTTACTTCTTGTTGTAGAGACTTTGTAGAAAAAACTCAAGTGATGTATTCTGAACTTTGTATCTGTGATTCAGAGGGCCTTTTTTTCTTTTTTTGAATTGAGTTATTTGCTGGGTTTGTATTTTCATTATTTTGATACTAATTTCCTGGTGGTGAAATAGAACTCAGTATACACCAGCAACATCAAATACTTTTTAATTCAGATGACCAGAAGTATAGCAACTGTTGCACTGTTTCAGTAGTTTCAGCATGTTTATCCAATGCAGTGCCTTGCTGTACAAGCTAAAATGTTCATAGTACTGGGTTTCTTTCAGACTTTTCTTACATTCCTTACAGTCATCTTGTTGTTAGTGCTGAATGAAGTGACAGTTAAAAGTAGTTAAGATGCATGAGAGTGCAAAAAGAATATTTTCCTGGAACGTATTTTGGGCCCAAACCAAAATGTTGTCCAAAGCTCACAGATTAGTACATACATCACAGAAGCTGAAGTGCTGAGGACCTTCCTTGGTAAAATGAGCATCATATAGAGGTGTGCTTATTGGCCAAAATAATGGAGGGAAGAAAATGCATACACCTGCTGTCAGTTGTCTTTATTTTGTACAAGTAAATGATGTGATTTGGTTGTCTCTTTCCCCCCCCACCTCTCTGTCCCCCCTGCTAGTGTATAAACAATGAAGCCAGAGCATCAAACTACATGAGTTCTCTGAATTTACCAGACAAAACCTTGCAGTTTGTTAAAGATCATCCTCTAATGGATGACTCAGTGACCCCCATGGGAGACAGACCTCGGCTAGTAAAACGAGACGTGAAGTATACCCAGATTGTAGTAGACAGAGTCACAGCACTCAATGGCACCATATATGACATTATGTTCATTGGTACAGGTGAGTTCTGCAAAACACCTTTCTTTAATGATGGCCTGATTCTTTGAGTTTCTAAGAGAAACTCTTGAGATTTATATATTTACAGTGCTTTTCACCAGCTGATGTTTTCGTTAAAAATTAAGGCTCTACAGTAAGTGGTTGTTCTTTGCGCCAAAATACTATTCCTTTCTCAGAGCTCCTTACAATGGCAAGCTTAATAGTTGCCTTTGATGCAGAGTTATGTGAAGTTTTCAGCTGAACACCAAACAGATTCTTGAGACAAGTTAGAGCAATTGTGCAGGGTTTTTTCCTGCCTTTTTAGTTTAAGGATCTTACGTAAACTATTGCTGTTTCAGATCGAGGAGCCCTGCACAAAGCTATCAGCTATGAAAATGGAATGCATATTATTGAAGAAACACAGCTTTTTCCAAATTTTGAGCCAGTCCAAACTCTTTTGCTTTCATCTGGAACAGTAAGTGCTATAAGCATCACAGCATTCATCTCATTTTGTTCTTCCACAAAACTTTTTAGTATCACTTTGTAATTTTGTGACAAAAGACCATCACTGTGTGCAGAGCCAAAGACTGTATCTGTAACTCAATATACTGCAGCAATATCACGTGTTGCCAGCTGTATTTCAGATGTTTGGTAGGTGGCAAGCTTCTACAAGTATATGGGCACAGGGATGGGTGGGGTGGGGCACAGGTGTACAGGTTTTCACTTGGATTCCATGTGCACAAGCTGAAAGCTTTAAGGTTTTCAGGTTAGGAGTGATGTAAAAATCCTGACCCCTTGTGGCCATCACAGCTCTGTGAGGAAAAATCTCCGGGTTGATGTTAGCACAGGGGTGCTGTGTCATTCTGAGGAAATCGACCCAAGAAATCTGGTCTAGCATAGAGACTTGTAATAGTGTAACTAACTGGTTTCTGCTGTCCCAAATCTTGCAGGCCCCTGGATACTAGAGATGTCGTGAGAGCAGTGACTTTGGTGACTGCCACAGTGGCAGTTGGTGACATCCACTGCAGCTGTGGGTGAGAACCTTTGGTGAGGTCCTGTCTGCCCAGTGGGGGACCAGCTGCAGCTCCAGCTGGGTGATACAAGCCCTACCACAGGCTGCAAACCTGGTGGCCATCTCGAGCCATTATTAGTCCCTTGGCTTAACCCCAGAGTGGTTTTGTGACAGTAGGAGGATAATCACTATGTGTAGTTTGTACATGAGCTGGATGTCTGGGCCTCGTTACTCAGACCTGCAGATCATGAGTGTCTGTGTCTGTGCCCTAAGCAGCTGCTTGTAGCATCAGACCCCACAGTGACATTTCAGGGTTTCTTAAGGAATGAATTACTCTCTTGAAGTGTCTGGCAGTAATACTGACATTCAGTAGCTTCCTAGTGATTGATAAAGGCTTTGCAGATTAGGGATTTAGGAATACTGCCGAGATATCTTTGAAACAGCTTTCATTTTTGTGTGATATTTAATAGAACTTTGCATGTCAACATGATCAGCTCAGTGGAACAGAGCTTTATGCCATAATTCTTACAAGCTCGTCTTGCATGTTGATTTGTTCTTTCATGCTTAAAACAGAAAGAAGTCTTGAGGTCAGAGTATACTTTGGATAGGCAAGTGCAAATCAGGATTAAAAACTTCCATACCTATAGCTTTCAGTAAAGATGTTAATATTATTGTAGTATGTTGCATCAAACTGGCAACTTAGTGTGTATATATAATATATATATGTAGGTACATAATATGTGTGTTTGTGTATATATATATGTATGTATGTATGTGTGTGTGTGTGTATTTTCTGGTTTCTTCTGCTTTATCTGCAAAGAAACCTTCAAATGCCTTGCTTTGATGGGAGGTTTCAGTATTTGCCCTGTGATAGAAGATAATGATCACTAACTCTTCTAATAAATGTGCTAATACTCGCTCTTGTGATTGTGGAACCATTCATACTCTGGCTTAATTACGATTCCCTCATTTCTGAGGAGTGGAAGGGAAGAGATGGTCATTATAGCATGATACCAAGGACACGTGATGTAGTAGTTTCAGCACGTATTTGGTAGCCAAGGCTAGTGTAGAAATAATAGCACTGAATTTATTTGCTCTTGAGTCCAGGTACCACATGCTCAGTTCCTCAAGAACATCCCGAAAGGTGTCAGTGTGAGGCATGGCATGGAGGCTGCATAGGGAATCCACTATTTTTTCAGAAAGAAACTTTGTCTCAAAGCTTAGAATTGAAACAAAACACTGCTTCCTGCATAGCACTGCGGAGAGTAACAGTTTGTGTCTTCTGCAAGAGAAGATTTCTATGTTGCTAGTGTATTTTTTTGACACATAAAACTACACCCCAAAATTGAAGCAGTGCTGCCCAGTAAATTTCCATAAAAGCAGAGGTCCTTTCCAATGATGAGGAGTGAGAGGTTGGGTCAGGTGCCAGAGTTATGGAAACTGTGTAGTTGCAGTACCACCCTACAAGGGACTACTGCTGCTTCCCAGCATGAAAACACAAGAAGCTGTTTCCACAGTCAGTGGCTACAGAAGTCCTCCATAGAGCAGGTATTGTGATGTATGTCATGGCATCCCATAGTAATGCATTAACCACAGAGGGTTAATAGTTGTTACCCTGATGATGGACTGTAGACCTTTCTGGATTCAGAGTCCGTTCTGAGCACGTTTTTCAGCAGTCTTCAGGTTGTTCCCACATTGCTTGTAGGGTGGTGGACAGAGTCAGATGAGCCTACATTAGATCATATTCTGCTTGACTTGGAAAATGCGTCTGGATTTTTTAAAATGATCTGCTCAGCTCACTGCCTGTTCCAGGAATTCATGGGTGTGCAAGCTGGGAACCATGCTGGGACACTACAACCTGTGTGCAGTGTTGCACTGGTGCAGTGTTTTCTAGCAGAGTGTTAGAGAGATGAGCAATGCTTGGTACATTGTGAGAGCCTTCAGGCAGACTGTGAAGCTTCTCGTAGGAAGTAGTATGACTCCAAAACTATAACCTTCCTTCTGTGGACTCTGCAGCATAGTCCAACAATACCCTAAGTTAAATTTCAGGATGAAAGGCTGCATTTAAATATATGTTCAACTGTATTTCAAACTACATCTTTCAGCAGTGCCAGCAGATTCTTTTCTGGTCCTGTTTTGTCTTGTATTTTCCAGTGTTAAGAGTTTCCTTGAAAGCTGTCTGGGCCACTCCACCACTCCATGCATGAGATGGATCCAAACTAATTTGTGCTTGGTCTTGTAGCTTCCTATAGAGACTTTCTCATGATCATTGCATTAAAGAGACTGTCCTGTTCTGAGTTCTCATGGCAGAACCTCCTGATGTGAAAGTGTGTCAGTGAGGCCTAAAACCTAAATTCAGTCCTAAGATGCTTAGTTGTTAGCTGAGGCTGTTTCTGATGCCAAGACCAAATGTCTGCACCATGAGATCTTTCAAAATGTTTCTCTACTAAGAAATCTTTCTTGGATGTCTCCCCATCACTTTGTGACCATACTCGTCCTGCCAGAGTCAAACAGTCTCACTGCAGACATGACCCCTCAGTACATTTCTACATACTGAGATCCATATGGCTGCAGTACGGGAAAAACCACTCTGCTTGGATCTGGCTCATTTGCCATGGCAACTGTAGTAGGGTGCTGATAAATCCGTTTGGCATTCTGCTCAGGATGAAGCCAACCCAGTGCCAAGGTGGAGTGTGCTGTTCAGCTGTCTATGCACAGCCTCTCAAAATGAGTAGAGGGCTGGTCACTGGCTTTTGGGTTGCAGCACAGACCCCTTTGTGTAATGATATGTAAAGTCACAGTGTACCTTTAGCCATTGGTTCCCTTGTGCTTTAAAGCAGATGAGTGAAATAAGGCAGCTGCCTGCCTTTTATAAGAAGGATGTTTGGGATGAATGTGGTCTTTTCTTGCCATGCTTCAAGTGAAACTTATTTGGCATCCCCAGCAACAGTGACTCAACAGTCTTGCCAGTGCTGTTACCTTTACATACTACCGGTGTTCCTCCTTGAGAAGCATTTGACTGTTGTAAGGCTGATGCTGATGTGGCTGCAGAGACCTGGCTGGTTGAAGAGCTGAAGGCAGTAGGGCTGCTTTGGGTTAACAGGAGCAGGTCCTACATACAGCAAGCCTTGCCTGCTCAGGCTTGCCATGTGCCTGCTGCAGGTTTGTCATCAGCACAGGCTTTATCATCAGCATAGGCTTACCTTGCCTCATACAATTGTTGGTGCGTTTATATTTCTGGAAAAACTGCAAAAAAGCAAGACTAGGTGTGGTTGCTTTCCATTGTCATAAACTGTAACTGTTTCAGGTTTTTTGTTGTCTTTTTGCACTTTCAGCCTTTCCTGCAATATTTATAAGTTTCCTTCCTAAAAATAAAAGCTAATCAAACACTTATTCTCCTCATGAGACAGTTTTTACAAACATGACTGTATGTATGCAACTCCTAAAATACTTTTTAAATTGTGTCATGGATTGGGTTGTTTGGCTCTGAGAAAGTGATTGGCTGTGATTTTGTTATTGTTGTTTATTTGTTTACTTTAGGGCAGAAGATATCTCTTTGCTGGTTCAAATTCTGGTGTGGTTCAGTCTCCGTTGGCATTCTGTGACAAGTACACCACCTGTGTTGACTGTGTTTTAGCAAGGGATCCTTACTGTGCCTGGAAACCCTCTGAAGCTTCCTGCACTGATATTTTTAAAGAAGATAGAATTGAAAGGTATTGGTAGCCTTTGATTATCCTAGAGTTACAGTCAATATTGCATCGGTCTTGCCCCTTACTGATAAGTGGAATTTTAAAAACTGGTTTTCATACACAGGCTTTTTCCTATCCATCTGTGTCTGCTTGTGCTCTTTAGATAAGATGCCCCTTGGTATAAGGGGATGGGCAGGCCTCAGAAACAAGATTTGAAGTTGTAATGGTTGGACTTTCTTTTACAGGAACTGGATTCAGAACATAGGTGGAGATGCATCTCCTTGTTCTGGTGAGTTAGTCTTTAAAGAGCTCTTTCATACGTCTAGGTGGAGTAGTGAAAGAGCTGTGTTGAGTTTAGCTTCGCATTTGTGATTATCTGGACATTCATTTACATTTTAATAGGTATGAGATTCTGCTGTTGAATATTTGAGCGTCTGCACAGCCTGCATGTTGTCTTAAAAAATGTCTGTTTCATATGCGTCTGAGTGTGCAGTGCAGAACCCCCTGAAATGAATGGTGTCACCTCAACAGTGACTTGAGTGAAAGCAATCCCAGAAGTGCTCCTATTTCAGATGCCCGTCTCTTTGATACAGCACTGGACATTCTACTGTGAGCCTTGACAAGTGCTTGGTTATTGCTGTTAGATCAGATTAAGTGGTTTTGAACAAAAGCTGATTTTATGGTGAGAGGGGAGGGGGAGCTCAAAACATGATACAGAGCAGCTGAAGTACCTGAAGTGAAGTTGCTTTTAGACAAGCAACCACAGGCCCTTTCTTTATAGTGCATGCTGCTGCCACCAGCTCAAGATCTTAGAGGAAGTAGTGTTACAGGAGATTTGAGCTGCAGTAAACAAAGCTCTTAAGGGTTTGATTTACTCCCATTTTATTTCCAATCCAAGCAAAGCATGGACCACCACGAGAGTTTTGCCTGTTATTTTGTTTTGTTAATTTATGGTGTTGCATTGTGGATGTGCCATAAGTGCAGATACCTTTATTTTAGTAGAGAGTTGAGTAACAGCACTTTGTTCAGTTTCTTCTTGAATACTTTGTAGTTGCTGATTTACTTAAAATGCACCAATTACATATAAAGTGAGAGCAAGTTCAGAAACTTGTCTCAAGCCATGACTCATCTCAGGTGCATGCTCAGTTGCAGACCAGCAAGGTCTCATCTTTGTCTAGAAGTGGAGGCTGTCTTAAAATTTGAGGTGTCCTATCTCTTTGTCTGTCTTGATGTTTTGTGTGCAGCTGTAGCTTGGTATTTCACCAGGATTCTTGCATGCTGTCACCTTGGTCTTGTGAGGTGAATGCCATAATCTTCATGCTTCCATTAAGACTGTAACACAGTCTTGTGAAGCTGTACAGATTAGAGCAAATAGGATTCATTGCTGATACTCTGCACATTTATTTTGATGTTCCAGATAAAGTAAGAGAGAAACCCCTACAGCATACATTCAAGCATGGGAGCACAGCAGAACTCAAGTGTTCTCAAAAGTCCAATCTGGCACAGGTAGTTTGGAAGTTCAAAGACGATGTACTGAGAGTGGAGAGTCCCAAGTACCGTCTGTTGGAAAAGGCACTGCTCATCTTCAATTTGTCAGAAGGAGACAGTGGTGTTTACCAGTGTTTGTCAGAAGAAAAAGTGAAGAACAAGAAATTTTCTCAAGTGCTGGCTAAGCATGTTTTGGAACTGAAAAAAGTACAGCACACCACAGTGGGGCCCACAGCAGCACCTACACCAACAGAAGGTAATAGTGATGTGCCAAAAGTATCAGCTGTATCATCTGAGGGTTCTACTGCTCACACCTCGACCACTCATATGGTACCAGTAACGACAGCACGGATAGTAACAAAGCCCATTGGAGCTGTCCTATCAAGTGCAGCCTCCAACACAGAGCTCTTCAATTCAATTCCAGATGCTGTCCCAGAAAAGACGATGTTCCTCAAGTCAAACGATAACTTCCTGTTGATGTTCCTCTTCCTCTTCTTTTTCATCCTCTTCTTATGCCTGCTCTCCTACAACTGTTACAAAGGGTACTTGCCAGGGCAGTGCTTGAAATTCCGCTCTGTCATGCTGCTTGGCAAAAAGAAAACAAAGTCAGATTTTTCTGACTGCGAGCAAAGTGTGAAGGAGACGCTGGTGGAGCAAGGCAGTGTCAGCCACCAGAGCGGGGAGCAGCCAAAGCCCGCGCACGACACTGGCTATGAGACTGAGCCCGACTGCGGGAACAGCCAGCTGCAGGCTGGGGATTCACAGGCATCCCGGGAGGCCAAGGGCAAGCCCTTCGACGTCAAGTGTGAGCTCAAGTACGCCGACTCAGACGTGGAGGGGGACTGAAGGAGCCAGTCGTCCGTTTCAGTGGTGGAGATGAGCTGTGGTGCTGCTGCTGGCTATTTGAGCATGGAGAGCCTGGATGTGACGGCTAAGCCATAGTGGGGTTTACATGCTTAAGCTGTACAGCAAGCCAACTTGCATTCAGATCTCGCCAGATTAGAGAAGTGGTGTTCTTGTCTGGAGACCATAGCATCTTGTGTTGTACTGTCCTTTTTTCTTTTGTTTTTTAAATGGCCAGTTTCAGATCACCACTTGTTTATTCCCAGTTTTTCCTCCCACTGAGCGCTTTGCTCTAGTGAAGTTACTTGCTTGTTCTTTGGCCCTGTTCTTTCATAGAGTAAAAGTAATGTTCTAATTCAGTTGGCTTAAAAAAGTACTTCAGTCTACACATGTTTTTAGCTGCCATTAAAAAAAAGACCTAGTTTCATTTTAATTCCAAATTGGAAATTGAGTTTAGTTTATCAGATTGGTAAATTACAGACTTTTGTCCAGATTGGGACATTTTTTTTTTCCTTTTGCTTCTAGTGATTATTTTTGTTTTATGCTTTGTGTTTTGGCACACTAGTTCTCTTTAGTTCATTAAGGTTAATTTTTTAACTGCTTTTTAAGTATCTTAGATTTTAAGGTAAAATGGGGATAGCATTGCCTTGATTTATGTAAGACTCAGGGATAATCGTGTTTTTAAAGGCTTTTTCTTTGCTGCTTTCTATAAACGTAGGTACAAAAGTATCGGTACAAAATACGGAGTAAGTGGGGAATGGGGAAGGAGGAAATAAATGCTTTTCTTTTTTCTTTTTTTTTTTCCTCCCCCCCACCAGCTAACAAGCTGGACATAGTCGCATTCTATTTTCTGTAAAAAACTGGATTTTTTTTTCTCTTTTTTTGTAATTAATGAAAAAGTACAGGCAAGCAACTGTCAGTTAGCAGTGACGTGGAATGAGGTTTCCTGCATTGTGGAAGCAAAACAGGAGTCAAGAAGAATTAACTCCCACAATTCAGCAAGTGACTCTCTGGAATGGACTGTGAGGACACAGCCTGATGAGACAACATTGCCGATTTTTCTCCTTTTTTTCAGATTCAGAAATAACTCAGCTTCTTTTTGTGACAAATCTTTGCAGCATCACCCTTTGTGAATTATACCTTCCACTCTCCTATGCAACTGGAGACTGAAACTGGAGCTGCTTAAACAATCAGTCGTTTGAACTGTTTATGTGAATCATGCCTGCTAACGTGAAAGTGTGCATTTGTTCTCAGCGTGGTTCACAGCAGCACTGTCTGTTTGTAAAAGCATTTTGTGCAGTACAGTCCTGAAAAATTGTTCCTCTCACTGCATCGTTCTGTAAATATTGCTAGAAGTAGAGTACATTTTAACAGTAAACAGCAGTACGCCTGGGCTGCTTCTCTATGTTGAATTTTCATGCAAACATAATTTAGACCATCTTAGTGTAAACAGTTTATATTTTATAAGATTCAGTTTGGTTTTATTTTTCTATTTTTAATTATGTACATATAACAGAATAAATATTAAAATAAATTGTATTATCTTGATTTTTATGAAACGTGACACAATGACACTGCTTTCCATTTGGCAAGCACTAATTTTTCTTGTGGTTTCCTTTAAGGAGGAAATTTTTGTGATTAATTTGAAGTGGCTTCTCAGTTGAATGGGTGCTATAACCCAGGGTGTGG